GATCCTTTAACACAGAAGTATTACTGGAATCCTTCATGGAACTACCTGGATGATCTTCAAAAAAGGCTTTTTCATCCTAAGCTCTCTGCTTTGACTACTCTTTCAGGTAAGAAATCTAAAGAGACACCATAACTTCTCAGAAAGAAAACAAGACTGACAAGGAAAAACCCTCCCTCCAAACCTGTCTATAAAAAACAACTAGTAACAGCGAAAGTGAAAGTGCAGTGTTTGAACTACTTTTTCAGTAATTCAAAATAAGAAGCCAGCAATATGTACACAGTGCATGCATAAGTAAGATTTCCTATCATTCATGTATGGTTTCATGTATTAAAAGATAATATTTTCCCTATGCAGTATTATCTTCATCTTTGTGTAGTTCTATACAGACACTAAATACCACTTTTTACCATCAAACATGCCTTCCATTAAAACTTTAAATAATAATTGTAGTCATAAAAGACTGCATTTAAGGCTTAAGGGTCAAACAAAGATCATTTCCAAGTCCTACAAAAAATAATTATACATTTCTGGTTTTGTTTCCAAAGATTTAAGAGAAAGGTGAGGGTTTGGGTGATTATAGGAATCTCCTTTCCAATATAAGAATCAGTCTGAAACAAAGAATGAAGTTTCCTTCTTTAAAAATCCAGAAGTAGGTAATGGTGGCAGGTTGCCATCTTTACTGTGAATGAAAGGCAGAGATCATTAAGAGCCTTAAAAATGATCATGCCTGGGTAAAAGGTTGGAAGGTACCTTAAAGATCTTCAGGTTCCAACCTCCCTGCTATCAGCAGGGACACCTCCCACTAGACCAGGTTGCACAAGGCCTCTTCCAATACACACGTGAATGTCTGTGCATATTATACAGAAAACACTATCAGGGTACATATATATATACACAGACTAAATGTAAAGACACATCAAATCAAAACTGTCAGTAAGCCTTGGTGACAGGAAGATGGTATCACATGCAGTGATTAGGAACATAAGTAGCACTGAGTTGTTGGCACAGAAGTAAGGAGAGTAAGAGCACATTGAGTTTGAATTCATGGTAAGATAATCATAAAGATACTACAGAGAGGCGATTTTCTTATTCTAGTCAATATCTCAAAGGTCTCATTTTTAAATTTCTCTCTAGCAATAAACAACAATCAAATGAGGATTCAATAAATTAGTGTTCACACAAAGGAGAAAATATAGATTACACTCAAGTTGAATGGAAATAAGCAGTACTTAAACACAGGCTTTGTTTGCTTACAGTGCACAAAAATCCTGTGAGCCATTTTTGGTGTAACAACATCTACTTACTCTAAAGAATAATTTAATTTATCATGGAAGATTGAGATGCTTTTAAATTCATTCTGCAGCCATTTCAGGAAGGTAGGAAAGCACGATGAGAAAACAGACTGCAGTGAACACAAACAGATCATATGCTACTGTAAAATTTGTCCAAAAAAGAGTCTATGATAACTCATTAAAGCTCTGCAATTAAATTGATATGACGCCTGGGAGACTTCAAATCATAGCATATAGAGCTGTTATAGGCACTAAGTGCATGTGAAGAAACTAATGTTCAGAATGGGTCTGTACAGCACAGAAAGGATGAGGGAGAACCAAGTTCATGCCACGAAAGTGTCTGTATCATCAATGCGTTTTCTTTATTGAAAACAGGTACATTTGGGAACTACTGTAATAAAAATGTAAAACAAAAAAGTAATTACTATAAATAGTACCAAAAATATGTAAGTTCTCTAACCTGAACGTTCATTCTACTATAAAGTACAAACATTTTCTATTTGAATATTGCTGGAACTTAATCAAAATTTCTCCAGACTCATTAGCACTGCTACCTGTTTGTCAGCTTCACTGCCAACATGTCATATGATATCTGTAGTAAAATCTGCACTTAAAACATTGTCACTACTTTCCATATAAGATCCTACATTCAGCTGCTTGAAACTTTCTGTATATTACCAATTTAAGCTGAAATTCTTCATGTTAGACGACTGTTTCGTAGCTAGTTCCTTTTAATTCAGCAAATAATTTCAAATTGTTCTTGAGCACAGCTAAACAAATGTTTGTTTTCATTTTTTAATCCCATAAAAAATTGTAGAAAGCCTATATCTCCAGTGTGCCTTGGAATGACGACAGACAAGGAGGGTTTTGAAAGTGAACAACTATGATGTCAAGGCATATGCTACTAGCCATCTGAAACTCATTATGCCTGAGCTTTTGAAAAACTACATTTCACATGAATTCAATATTCCCTTGTTTGAATCAGGCATCTAAATTCTTCAAGTGTTCTACATGTCATGAGGCATAATTCAATCCAGAGCTGCCTGAATTTCTTTTCTCTCACTCCTTCAGAAAGCTTCCAGGTTTCATAGAGAGCAAAGAAAATTTCACTTGTTGCATTGCACTATTCCAGTGGGCACCAAAACTGCAAGGAGGAGAGAGATGAGTCTAACTGGCAGCAAAGCAATATGAAGAAGTGGATGTAGAAAGGAAAGCAGAGAGGAGAGACAAAATAAAAGATTCAGACTAGCATAAACACAGGCCTTGTGCAGAAATGCACAAGGGTCCAAACAGATGGTTGAATGTATCAGTAGCCACCAGCACACACTTCAGTCAAATACTGGAATAAAACCATGGATTCCTAAGTTTCATCATTCCTCTTTTTATAACAGATCTGAAACAAGACAACTTTATCACACCAAGGGTGTATGAAACTGCTGCATTCCTTTGTCTTAGTACAATGTACTGAAATTAATCATGACTTAACACTGGGTAGTTTTATGGTTTGATAAATTTCTCATTTCCTCTTTGCTTCTTGACCTCATCTCAGAAAATAAAGCAATCTTCCTCACCATAAGGACCACTTTTTCAACTTCTTGCTTCAACTTCATTTGAGTGAATACTACCTATATAAACACAATTTATACTTTCAAATTGATGATAATTTATTCTTGTCACAGCCTTTTGGTTTCAAACCCCTTGCCAGCCTAAGCTGCACTTCCTCAAAGAATTACAGAACACCTTTCTTCTCTACTAGTCTTGAAGCTAACTCAACTTGTCTCCACCTGTTGGAATGTATATGCTAGCCAGTAGTGCTGGCCAATGATTTCTGGAGGGAAATACAGTCCTGTCATAAAATTTTCTGCCTTCAACAAAACCCAGGAAGCCTGGTCTGTATTTTTGAGTTGAACAAACAGATTCATGGCCACCAGAAATTCCTTAGTGTTGGGGGAAACACAAAGCTGCCCAAGTACTAAAACTTGATACCACCATTTCCAGAACTTCTGATTCTTTCAGAACACATTGTGGAAATGCAGGGACTCAGGGATGACTTGTACCATCAGAACTGAACCACATTATTTCTGCCTAAATCAGGCATACAGAAAATTAGGCTTATCAAAAAAATCTAATAATCTGCCCCAAAAGAAACAGATTCCAAGATTGCTATGTTTCCTGGAGTACATGCTTTTACATTGTTCCAAGTTATTTGCAGTATCTGCTGAAGAAATCTAATGAACTTAAGAAGAAGGATAACCTTAGGGAGAAGCACCTACCACATTTAATTAAAATATTAATAAACTGTATTGGTAAGCAAGGACAACAGTATGGCTGCTATCTATACAAATGCTACTTCTGACTATTAAGTACAAATAAAACTATTTTCCCTGTCACTGCCAGTCTCTAATTTGGATCACACTGTCAGAAAATTCTAAAGAGATTAAATTGAAGAATTACTTTATTTACTTTGTAGGGCACTGCAATGAAAAACAAAAGGCAAGAGCTGAGTTGTTACCAAAAAAAGAATAACAAAAATATTAAACTTTCTGTTGTTATAATTGATTTTATCTGAAAATACTACCATTGGTGTATATATATATATATATATATGAAAATTACAGAATCTTGGGAATTGCTTTCTCTGCAAACTTACAGGTCAGTTACAAAAACATTATATGCAGCCAAACATACAGAACACAACAAGAACACCAAGAACTAAAAAGAAAAATTACAAACTACTTAAAATGTTTAGCTCACCTTTCCAACAGCAGCAGCCACTCTGTTGGTCTCCCCTGCTCTTTGCTTTCATTGCAGTGTCCAGCATTATGGCTGAAGAGATAGAGTACAGCAGAACCCTGCTAATTTACCTTACTAATTCACATACCCCATAATTTGCGCACAAAATTTTGCCGTTTTCCCAACCTTTTAGGCAAAATAAAATTGAAAAACCTGCAGAGATGGCTTCTGCTGCTCAAACTGCTAGATACTGAGTAGTGAATTACTTAGTACCACCATCAAAATGTAAACTAAACTAGTTTAATAAAGAAAATATGTTACCTTAAAACATCACCCTGTACCATGTCACTGACTTGCTCATTTTCAAACCTTGAAATTAACAAAAGGACTGCCTGCCAGTGAATTAGGGAGGCTGTACTGTACTTAAATTTGTAATGCCCTCATTGATACACTTTTATCTACAATTTTCTTCAGACTGCCTCACATGGGAATACAGCTACTACACACTTAGCTATGTCCTATTATATATGATAATGTGTCCTAACACTGTTTTAATTATTCAAGCTTTCTTTTTAATAAGATTATATATTCAGTTTAGTGTTTGACTTTCTTCTCCTACACAGATTTTTCTTTTTTCAACACAATATATACCAAGTGCAATTCAGCTCTGGTGTGTTACTCTGATATTTAAAGAAAACCTATTTGTTGCTTGATTTTCCAAACCAAAATACAGATTATTCACAAAACCTGCAGATTACAGATGTGCCTCAAGCCAAAAATGAGAAACCTGATTAATTCCCAACTGCCAATCTTAATATAATCAATAAATCACATGGCATTTCTCATCTGGAATATGTTTGTCAAGTTTAGATCAGTTACCAGTTCAATACAACTTCCATTATACTAAAAAAAAAAAAAAAGACAGCATATTACCACATTCAATTCATCAAATTGACAACTGTGAAAAAATCTTACTGGTCTGACATCCCCACATGAGTTGGTAAATTGCCGTGCCAAGCCAAAATCCAGCATATAACACTTCCTACAGGTGCTAGGAAAACGTCCCATTGCGAAGTTAGACTAGGAAGAAAAACAAATACAGACAGATACACAGATATACATACGCACATTATAATACATGCATGTATTAAAGCAGTAACACAGTCACAAAAAAAAATCCATTCTATTTCTCTAGCCTTCCTTCTGTATTTTCAGTTCTGCTAAACTCCCATTAAATTTGAAGAAAACACTGTGAAGATAATTTGGACATCTAACTTAGTGTATCTGGATAGCAGCCTACACAGTCCAAAGAGATTGTCCTCTTACTTCTTCACTTAGAATGTATTAATATTTAGCAAGAATTTTCCAGTCATGTTATCCACTCATGTATTTTGATTTGGACATTTCCAAAAGCTACCAGCCTAGGGGCTAACAAGTTCATCTGAGCAAACACACTAATATCATATATATAGAACACCAAATAAGGGGTGCAAAAATTGTCATCTCCTTTTCACAGAAGGGGGAAGAACCAGGTTTAAAAACAAATGAAAAAAACAAAACAAACAAAAAACCCTTCAAAACAACAAAAAGAGTAAGAGCTGGAAAGTCAGTGAGGACTTATGGAGAGAAATAATTCTGAAAAACTTCAGTAAATTTTCTTATTTGCCTCTACAGATTAACAGTCCATGTTAGACCTTTAAAAAAACTTTGTCAGCACTTCTAGTTTATGATGTTTGGACATATTGCCTGAAACAGCTCGAGTCTGTCCCCACAAAATTCCCTTAAAATGGATTATGCAACATAAAAAAAAAAAAAAGATAAAGCTAAAAACAAGTTCTGTGAAATGGCATTGAAACTACACATTTGAGCCAGCTGAAAGCTTTATGCAATTAACTCTGAAAAGACTCCTATTTCTCCATTAAGTGAAACAGCAGTACTGTTCTAAATAAATCTGAAATTCAGAGTTACTTCAATGTCAAAGGCTGAGGGTGAAAACCAATTGAAACCATGAATTGAAATGAGTGTGATCAACATCCTTTTTAAATAGAATAGAATTGCAGCACAGACTAATTCATCACATGTGGGAAATAATCAACCAAGGATTTAAAGAGTTCAGCTCATCACAAAGCTTGCTTTTAATGTAATCCATCTAGAAGATATTTAATAAAAGATGAAATGGACTTGCAGTTTCAAGCAAGGAAAACTCCATGCTAGGAAGCAATTGTGCCTTCTTTTGCATGTGCAACTCACAACATAACTGCTACAGGGAAAGAAAAAAATATTTCTTTTATGAATCTAATATATTGCCTGACACTGCTGATTATCCCTGCTCAGTTTTTAATTTTCTGGGTTTTTTTCCATTCCTTAACAGCATTCTCCACTTCTATCCTGTTTGAGCCCATAGACTCCAAGATACTGCTAAATAACAAGATGTCCCCAATCCATCCTGTCAGATAAAGCAACACATTTTCCACTCAAAACTTTAATTGTTTTTATTATTAAAATCTAGAAATCTAATCAACTCCTTCTCACTTGTTTCACTTGATATTCACTGTCTCTGTGTCCATTCCCTGTAAAATGAAATCTTGGGGATGGGTCAGGGTCAGAATATAAGTTATATGGAAGAAGTGATGGAAATGAAAATTCTCTAACGTACAGAAACTTAACAGATGTTTTATGCAAATATCATTCAAATGACAGGAAATTTAATTACATATGCCAGATATAACCAGCCATACTTGCATCTATTTGAAAACACAAGATAAACTTATTTTTTCTCATTTTCAAATGTTGAAAGTCCAGCGTTCTAACGATACTTTTAATATATGAAAATACAAAATATGAAAAATATTTATAGAATTTCAGGAATAAATTAAAATAACAACAGAAAAAAATAAGAAAAACAAAAGCATGATGCTATCAGGAAGGCACCATCCTCATGGCATTTTGGTAACTTTCATTATATCGGAAGTGAACAATATAACTATTGAATAGTCTTCTCTTACACTCTGTCTTTTCTTCCTTTGTTTGTTAGAAATACATTAAAAACAAAAAAAAGCTATTAAGAGCTTAGAAATACACTATCTAGTTAGAATCTATTCGTTTAGACTTAGAGTTAGATATCAATTGCTATTAATGAAATTAATATTAGCTCATGCAAATACTCTTGATTGCATGCTACAAAGAGTTGGAAGTTTGAACAGAAGAGCAAAGTTATTGTTGTTGCAATCCAACATTAATTAACATTAAAAAATCTGCTCCCTCTGCTGAATAAACATTCAGTTTTCTGTCCCTTCTAATTTTTTCATTTTAACATATAGTATAGACCCTATTCTTATTTATGCAGCCATCTAATGATCACGTTTTACACATCTGTTTTTATTTAATGGGCAGACTTACTGGTTTTATGTCCCTGTGCAGGAATCCCACAGAATGAATACTTTCAATAGATTCCAGAATCTGCTTCCCAAGTCGCAGAGTGGTGCTAATGGTGAATGTCCCTCGAGATTGGCTCCGACGCAGGTCTGCCAAGTTCCGACCCTGATCAAATGAAATAGAGGTTTTCATTAAAAAATCCTAATGCAGAGATTCACACATAGTCTAAAGTCTTCCTTCTTCTTTTGATGTTCATGGATAACCACAGAATACTCTCATGACCTGTTTTCATTCTCAAGGATAACAATCTCATGTAAATTTAATGAGTCCCTGAGTATCTCCAATATTCAATTTAGAATGTATTTTTGAAAATAGGAATCTCAGTATTTTCCTACTCCTAAACAAGGCACACAAAACTAACCTCTATTAGAAGACTAGTACATACACTATTATTATTGTATAAGAGTCACATATGAAAAAGGCCACCAAGAAAACACCCAAAAAGACTTGTTTAAACTCATTTATTTAAAGAAAAGTACATAATTTATTTAATTATACAATATCTCTTAAATTACTTAACCAAACAGATGAAAAATACACAGCACAGGAAACGCATTCCCATGACTTCAGAGAACGGTTGTTCTGACAAAACAACATATGACCAATAGTATGATCTAGAGCACAGTTCTCTTTCCAACCAAGATGAAGGACAATAATCCCATAACTTTAAGTGCTGATCACTCATTTTATCCCTTTTCAAATGAATAAGTCTTTCAGTAAAGTAAATTGTTTTCTTTTACTTTCGAAGGGTTTTTTTCACCTTCATCAAAAAAGCCACCAAAATGCACAGACTACTATATTATATTTTAGAACAACTTTAAATGAAGACTTCAAAGGAATGTGAATTATCTCAGAAGACACTTTCTCCTTTCTGAGAAAATTCTGGATAGGATATAAAAAGATAAAGATATAAGGACATGCTCAATTTAGGTTTGCTCACTACAATGATCTTTGAGGGTTGTTTTTTTTCATTTATCATCCTGTAAAATTTTACTGGTATTTTCATAAATGCTTGGCTAACAAACTGAAACAAACATGCAAACTTTGAGCTCTGTTTGATACACAGACCTGCAACTGCATGACGACATAGTTAAATCTGTCATTCCTTCCACATCCAATGAATCTACAGATATGATCTTTTCCTAAGAAAAAAAAAACACAAATTAGTTATAATAGTAATGAAATTCTGTGGTTTGTTCCTTTAAATATCCAGCAAATTACTGGAATACACAGTTATAGTTCTTTAGAAAACCTTAGTAAGCTAAGCCTCCATCCCCCAGTTCCACTAATGTCAGTTTTACTCCCAATTAAATAAAGTTCTCTCCCATAAAATATGCAGCTATCACTCTTCCATAAGAAAACATACATGGCAACATGCCTAAATGTCTGCAAGCTTGAGGCATTTTGCATTTGGAAAAGGTTACTTTCTTGAAAAGCTGATGGCTTGCTAGAGACGATATTCCTAGCCACCACTCCTCTGTCTCTATAAGCTGCAGCTGCCACAATGAATGAAGAATGAACACAGTGTTAGTTACATGGAGGTCATGTTTTGTATTAAAAAAATGTAGAAAATGTAATTCAGCTAATCCAATTTATTAATAACTTTTCTAGAATACAATCTTTGCTGTTTAGCTACAAAAGACAAATTCAGCTCAGATACACTGAAGCAAAGATAAAAGAATTAGAGCAAACTGTGGAGGAGGAGAGAGCTGGTCGGAAATAACCTCTGTACTATCCTGCAGTTCTAAGTCAAAGCATACAATCCCCCAGGTAAATAAAGAAAAAGGCAAGCCAAAGACCACAGTACAGAAACAGAAGGGGATTGTAATCTCATTGTCATTCTGGTATCTGTAATTCATCAACTTGGGGAGAATGTGGGACCCCTTAAGCCCTTACCACCTCACTCTACAGCAGAACAGAAACCTGTAGGGTTTAAGTCCCTCAGACCATTTAGCTTATTTTCTGACACCATGATATCTACAGCCAAGATAGTTACAAGTGGCCACTAAAGCTGTGTAAAATTTGTCACCTAGGGTTTCCTTCTTCAATTGATTTGCCATTATGATTACCAGAATATCATAAATAGAAAGAAAAAAAAGTGATAGGAGAAAAGCAATTTAAAATTTAAAAACCCAAAACATTACTGCTAGCTACAGACCTGGGAAGACTTTTTGTTACAACTGCATTCATAACTCCATCAAAACCCTAAAACTTGGCCCTACAATTTGACAGGGAAGTGATTGCTTGTTTATGACTTCCTCAGGAAGCTCCCGGCCACATTCAATTAAAATAGATAGGCCCAACAAAACAAAGAAAATGGTACAGGATTCATAACAATTTATTTTAAAAGAAATCTCGACAGCTTCTGCAAATACCTAAGTGCTAAGCTGTATCACTGCTCTTCCTCCACTTTTTCTTGCTACCCATTTAAGTAAGGCAGGCAATATTACAGACATTATAACTTTATGAAGAAAAAGGATTTGCAGCAGATTGGTCAAGATGAAATATTGTATATTCATTGCTGCAGTTGCCAGTTAATGAAGTCTCATCTCAAATATTTATGATTCATTTTACAGCCACCGTGGGTATGCTGAAGGAACATCTTCAGAGAAGCACACACTATTAGTCAGTTCTCATCTGACAAAATCAGTAAATGTCTGAAAATCTGTTTGGTCAAGGAGACCCCCATTTTAACTGAAGAAGCAACTCCAGTTGTGTGGCAAAATCTCTGGAAAACCTGAGGAAATAGGAAAGGACAGAAATAGGACCTGTACACCGTATTCAAATAGTGTGATTCTCCTCCATTATGTGTGGCTGTAAACACGTACTACACTTATGCACATAACCTTCAGTTCCTTCTCCCTCGACAAGAAAACAGTATTTTTGCACTCTTCCGAGCCACAGGGTTGGGGAGCAGGCGTAGAAGATGGTAATAGGCTGCTGTGAACAACAATGTCCTTGAAAAGCTTCCTACGGAGGGTACAAAGTGTATATGCTGTATCCCAGGCTGCAGTGTATCACTACAGATAGCTTTTCAGCCTAGACTAGACACAACCCATCACTAAATTAAGCTAGAGAGCTGTAAATGAGTGAGGGAGAAGTCTGTCAGGCTGTGTGAGACGGAACCAACTGAGTGAGTCTTACTCTCACTGAGTGAGATGTGATAAATCTGTGTTTTCCCCATCTGACTGTGGGAACAGATGGCCTAACAACACAATCAAACAAAACAACCATCTGTTGCAACAGATTTCTTTTAAAAAATGAACAAAACCACAATTTAAAGAGTTAAGCAGTATTCTGACAGCAATAATTAGGAGACAGCATCATTGGCAGGGAAAAAAAAAAGTAATCAAAGATGCAATCAATGACTAAGCTGCAGTAAATGGCCATATTAGTGAACATACTCTTTCATGACTGAGAAGTCACCCAACTTCTCACAGACTTCAGTATGTTTTGCTAGATCAGGGCCTTAAAAGACCTTCCTTTAAGTTTTTCATTATTCACTGTAATTCATATGCACAAGGGTATGACCCATTCCATCCCTGCAATGAATGACCACACTTTAAATTTTCAAAATTTCTGAAATAAAAAAAATTATACAAAATAGCACAGCCCTGCATTTCTGCCAAAATTTCAGTTTCATAGTTTCTGTGAAACAAGATTCTAACTCAGAAGCTTCAAAAGCATGTTTATAACCTTGAGGATGTGTCTAGTTCTAGAAAAGACTGGAAGAGCTGTTTTGTGGGATTGAGACATATTACAGCTGTTTATTAAATGCTTTCCTAAAAGCCTGCTTCTTCATAATTTTCAAAAAGCTTGTACATGGTAATAAATAAATACATTTTTTAAAAATCAGACCCACACATCAAGAGAATTCTGAATGACACTGGCAGCTGCCGGTCTCTCCTTACATATTATTAATAGATCAAACTTTCCAAATATTTGCTAGAAAAAGGATTTTCACCACAGATATATTCCTTCCTCTGATTTATGTCCAAGGTAACTAGAACACCTTGAAAGTATGAGAGCATAAGCCCCTTGAGAAAAGGATAATAATTATATACATACATATTTATATATATACACCCATGCTAAAAAGGGATAGAAGACCAAGATAAAATTGGTCTCAGAGGATGTACTATTAGAAGGTTGTTACAAAAATATCTTAAAATAACTGTTTACAAGTTCACCTGCTCTGAATCTGCAAGAAAAAAAAAATTGTGAAAGATAAGAAAAATTTCTACATGGTAAAAATTTTAAATGAAAAAAACCATCCTTCAAGAAGTAATGATAAAATTGCTTTCTGTTCCCCATTTTGGTTAAATTTTCTTGATTTTCTCTGTTTCAGATTTTTTTTGCATACTGAAAACTTGGGAAGGTAGAAAAATTAATGGAAATGGATCCTAGGAACCAAGATTTTATGTAAAACAAAATAGTCTCTACCATATTATTATTCAATAAAAACTTAAGTATGGGTAAAAATATATGCATGTACAAATAAAGCTATGTATCTGTGCAAACTATAAATCTCATTATATCCTAAGGGTTCACCCTTGACCCATCTGTGTGACCATCTTCCTGACCTATCTATAACATTCCCTTTCTAAAACCAGAGCAGTTGCCCTGTAATGTGAAACTTGCACAGACATGACTAAAAGTCACCTCCTTTTTTTTTTTTTTCTTTTTTTTCAAAAATTGTTTTCTAATGTGGCACATTGTCAGAGGAGCTCCTTCTAAAAACCTCATACAAAATCAGAGTTTAAGTGATATAAAAAACTTGTTTACTGTTTCCTCAGATAAATAATATTGAGAAAATAAGTAACTGAAAGATCATTATTTGGATTATTTGCCTAAGTAGTTCTGTTGTTCAGGTGTTTCATTTTGTTCTTTTCATCTAGACAGCATTTCCCATGACTCAGTAGAACCAGAGACTCTTCTGCAGGCAAGTTTGGGTTGTTAAAGGAATTACACTCTCAAAGGAATACTGACAAGAAAATTATAATTTCTGTGGGGCCCTATGGCAATTATTCACAAATCAGTTTTTTATTATTTCAGCAAAAATTTTTGGTTTTCAAAAATATTTTTAAAGGTAAAGATGTTTTCACTAAGAAAAATTTCCCTTATTACTTCAGTTGCTTCACTGATGCCATTTTAATGACTTTTTTGTTTAAAATAGAATCAAGCTCATGTGTGCAGAAAAAACCCCAACAACTTGAAAAACTAATTCTAAGCATTAAAAAACCCAGAAGTTTCAGAGTATTTGTTTCTTCAAAACTCACAAACTTTTAATTTTTTCAAGTACCCTGACAAATTGTTCCATCCTTGATGATTCTAAATTTATGATTGTCAATACTGAAATTTACTATTCATCTCTGGACTAGAAACTCTTAAATACCAAGAAAGCTAATATTCAGCCCTTGAATCTCCTTTCTCAGCTGTATCATACCAGATGTTTCTGTGGAATTCTTTAAAAAGGTATAAACACAGGGAGAGTTTGGTAACACTACAACATGTGACATGCTTGCCCTATTAAATCTATAGAGGCTGTCAATTTCTGCTGCAATGTGACCTTTACAGCAGATTAGGCAGCACCATATGTCATGTAGATTTTGTTTTATTCCAACTAAGAGTTTGGAGAAATCAGGCTGCTGACAGGGAAAGATGTATTAGTTAAAAAAAAATCTTCCAGATTCAAAAGAATATTTTTAAAAGAAAAAAGTCACCCTATAAACTTTCATTTTATAATCTTATGTTGTGAAAAGCACTGAAGAGAAGCTGTTGCATACTTCTTTGCAGTGAAAGCTTCAGACACTGAAGTATTTAAAGGTGCATCAAAAGCGACTGTTCAAAGCCGTGATTTTGAATGGTCAAGAACCTGAATCTTAAAAGTATTTCAGGACACTACATGCCAATAATTTTTACCTTGCTACATGTTACAGTATTTTTAAATAGGTTTTTTGTTTGCGTGAAGGTTTGTAAAGTATCTTTCCTATTTCAACATCAGAACTGATCTTTGCAATACTTGCAAGAGCAAAGAAATACAAGTATTCTTATGCTGGATGCTATGCAAAGGACCAGAAAATATTAAATTCTAGATAGTACAGAAAAAAAAAAAAGATACCATCCTAGAAGGGTCAATAAAAAGCTAACAACAACAAAGTCTAGTACAAAAAGGTAACAAAAACACAGAGCCAGAACAAACTACCGTTCACCACAGGTTTTGCAGCAATTTAATTTTTTTGTTGTTTTTATTTTCATGTCATCCTGTTTCAAAGAAAAGGGTCACTGTAGCAAAATTTTCAGAAGCTGAGAGCTTCTATTCCATTTTTAATAACTATTTAGCAATTGCCTGCAGAATATTGGGAATATTTACTCAAACTGTGACTAAATAGAGAGTATAATAATTTTTTGAGACAACATTCTACTTCTGGCATATCCGGGGCACAGCCCTACCTTGTAGCTTCTTCAACACAGCTACTTCCATTTTCAGCACTTGTTTTGGCTGCTGAGCTGATTCGACCTTCAGTGCAACATTTTCCCGAGTAAGCAAGTCCAGTGCATCGTAAATTTCTCCAAATCCCCCGCCTCCTATTTTCCTCAACTATATTGGGGGAAAAAGGAAAGAAAGAACAAAGACAGAATTAAAAGAGAAGAAAGGAAACAAAATATCAATACTTTGTAGTGCCTGCTATATTGCAAATGCTGTTTCATTACTAATGGATATTTTAAAATAAGATAATAATATCCTTTATTTCACTAAAGAGCTACTGAATTATCTACAAAGGTAACCACATGTTTGGAAGAGAATCCTAGAAGAACAAGGAAATATAAGAAGACTTCCATCTGCACTAAAATTCTTGTACATAATATCACAGAAGAGTGCACTAGCACTCCCAGCATGAATCTGACCGAAGTCAGCCTGCTGAATAAAGTCTTTCCTTGAATAGCCACATTCTACCCAGTGACCTTCAAATACAAATGCACAGTGACATTTCCAAAATATGCCATCTTTCCCTTTTTCAGAAATGCCCGTACTGAATATGAAAAGTATAAAAGTTGGACTTACTGAAAAGAGATGGCATTTTCTATTCTATGCAGTGCCCTAGACATACCAGCTAAATCATAAATAAGAAATGGCTATAATTATCGCAGAATCATCATGGTTTGAAAGGACCTCTGAGATCACTGACTCCACCACCTCCCTGGGCAGGCTATTCCAGCACCTGACCACTCTTTCGCTATAGAAATTATTCCTAATATCTAATCTGGACACCCCCCAGTGCAACTTCAGGCCATTTCCTCTAGTCCTACTGTTATTTACTTGGGAGAAGAGGCCAACACCCACTTCCCTACAACCTCCTTTCAGGTATTTGTAAAGAGCAATGAGGTTCCCCCTCAGCCTCCTCTTCTCTACACTAAACATCCCCAGTTCCCTCAGCCACTCCTCATATGACTTGCTCTCTAGACCCTTCACCAGCTTGGTGGCTCTTCTCTGGACATGCTCCAGCATCTAAGTGTCCTCCCTGTAGTGAGGGGCCCAGAACTGCACACAGTAATCAAGGTGCAGCCTTACCAGTGCTGAGTACAGGGACATGATCACTTCCCTACTCCTGCTTGCCACACTGTTCCTGATACAGGCCAGAATGCTATTGGCCTTCTTGGTCACCTGGGCATTCTCTTTTAATACAGTCTTTAAATGTTATTGATATTAACCTATGGTTTACCAATACCATTCTTATTTAACAGACATACTAAAGAAACCTGCACCGTTTAAAGTTTTATCAGTGTTAGGAAGAGGCAAGAATGCTCCTCACATTAATTAGTTTGCACTACATTCAGGGCAAATAGTAATAGTTGTGTTTTCACTCTGTTTTAAATGTTCACAGGGAAGAGAGACTTGTCTGGTTTTCAGTATCAAAAATGTCAGTGTTACTTCATTTAATGCTTTCATATGGTGTAGCTACCCATTCTCTGTAGCTTATAAAAGAGAAAAGAAGACAAAAACAACTTACTCCAAGAAACATACAATATTGTATTTTTACTATACTTTACCTTAAAAGAACTGACACAGTTTTTTAAATGTCATCTGAAAACATACAGTCGCTAAGGTTATATGACTACACTGTATTAAATGTCATCTAAATATTCCAGGGATCTAAAGATCAGCATTTTGCTGAGCTATCTTCCAATTCTGAAAATAAATCTAATGTCTCTTACTCCAGAAAATCAGCCATCTGACTGAAAAGGAAAAACAATTTTTAAAATAGTTTAGGCCCTTAAGGAAGAAGGTAACAGATAAAATACTTGTATTTTTCAAGTCATACTTGCATTTTTCAAGTCATATTGCATGAAATTTTTAATCTGTAAAACAGTATTCAGTATTTAATAACATACTTTCTGTCCTGAAGATCTTCTACCATCACCAACAACTGCTATTTCAATATTCTTAAGATGAGGAAAATACAGTGCAAGATATGTAACATTATCTGTATTACTCATTTCTGGCCATTTCATTGCCAGTTTTAAAAAGGTGCAGAGGATAGATAGCATAGCACATTTTCAGACCTTACCCACCTAAATATCTGCTTCCAGTGCAACACCTGTTGACTGCAAATTCACATGTAAATTTCTTTCTAACAAGCAACTAGCTGTTAGTAAATGCCATCCCCTTCACAGGCTGTATACTTTCTCTGAAGGAGTGTAACACGCCTATTACCAGCACAGGTGTAAGCCTATTACTCTTTAACCTACACTTTTCAAGAATTTAGCTAGTTCAAGTACAGAGTATCACTAATTCTGAATACAAAGTTTGTGTCTTTGGACATGACTTGTGTAAGGTACTACTCAGGTAACAATCTAGGGTTAACACTGAAATAATGACAAGCCATTAAACAGAAATAGCTCAGTATAACTGCAGTGTGTTAATCCTTCTAGAAAGGAAAAAGATTTGTAATTTTAATATTGGGAAAAATAGCAGGTTCATAAATGCAGATTCATATATATGCATTTAAAAAACCCACAAACTATGGTTGTGTATCTACGTATATCTCTCAAAGATGTGCTTTTGTGACTCATTTGGCCATTTTAAGGCTGCACTTTTTCACTCCACCTCTTGGTTTGATAATGCCCTTATCTTGCCCAGGCTCTGAGCTATTAACACAGCTTCAACAGTTAAACATAGACATTGATCTGACTTCAGTTTCCAACATAAGCACATAAATATTCATCAGAGTGCAAGCACAATGGAGACAGTGAGAATGCATGCTGAAAAAGGTGAGGGGGGGAAAAGGAAAGAGATGACAGCCATCCTCACTCCTATATAAAATTACAGTAGTTTATCATATAAATTAGTTTACCATCTTTGAGAATTAAGCAGACCAAGAAAGACTGTCTCTGAAATGTTGGCTTTTTTCCTGCTTGTGTGCTTAAAAATATGTTTTTTAAAAAAGAAACAAAAAAATGAAACAAAACAAACACACCACTGCACAAATAAACAGATCAATTTCTATCCTCATATGCAGTACACCAGATCATTAATGCATATCTAATAATGACATCAGTCAATAACTCCAGGCACAAATGAACCTCTCTTTGATTGTAGAAAAAATATTTTCCACACCCTTTGTTGCTGGGTCACACATCACATTAAGCAATGAGCCCACATTTTCCTTGGTCTGATGTCCCTGCAGAAGCCTCTCTCATTGCTTTTCACATCCCTTGGCAGTTTCAACTTCCAGCTGAGGTCTGGCTTTCATAAATATTAATTCCAAAATTCAGAGACAATATTTCCATATTAATCTTGGGCAGCCCATCCCTGTTTCCACTTTCTCTTCATTTGCACTTTGCTTTTGAGTTCAGAGAGGGGCTGGCTGTTCAATCATACTGGCCTCCTGCCTCATCTGCTCAACATCTTTCACCTGGACAAGGACCATGTTACCCTTGTTTACACCTGCACCACATTCTCCCATTTTGTACATCAGGTTCAAGCTTTTCTTATTTGCATTAGGCATCTCACACTGCAAACTCATCCTCTCTGTTCTGTCTTTCACTTCTCTTTGTATGTTTCAAGTCTAAAGCATACCATGTCCAGCATGTTTTATATTAGTACTTTCACTTACACTACATACCGAGTGATGTTCTTACACCTACCTAAAAGCAATCACCATTACAATCAAGACTCTCCAAGTCAGGATTGTAATAAATGTTACAAAGACAAAAAAGAGGGACAAGAAAAGGCATAGAGAAAGGATAAAACGCTACTAGGTACAGACACCAGTATAGAAGAAGGGTATCACTGAGGAAAAAAAAAACAACAAAACTTAATGTTTTTCCTATGCTTACTTTTCAAAATAGAATCACTCAAAAGTATGTCTAAGTTAAAATTAAATCTAACTGAGCCTAGTTTTTTAAAAATGCTTGTGTCCACAAGTTCCAGGTATGTTTTCATGATTACAAAGACAAAGATCTTGAACAGCAAAAATTCTGAAAACTGCACTTCAGCTGTAACTCTTCACATAACTTACGGAATGAGTGCTTTTTTTCTTCTTAAACTGGTTACAAAAAAATTCTCTCATGTAGTCACACTAAAGAGCTGCCATTCTTCAATGGGGAAAAAGGTAGGACACTGGGAGAGTTCCACAAGAAAAAAAAAATTAGAAGTACTACTGATAGATACACATGGCACTCAATGCCAGCAAAACTTGAAAGTCCACTGGTTTATAACACCTCATTTTTCTATACAAGGAATTTTTAAGTACTCCACTGCTTCAAGAACACTAGCAAAAAACTTCAATACTTCACAGCCTAACCGAGCACTAAGGAATTCCTAAAATTTGCATGCTATTTTCCTCCAGTGTAGACTGTCCTAGGAAATCCTGAACTAAGAACGAGTTATACTGCCTTAGAAGCCATCAAGAAATCCTAAATGTTTACTACAGAAACTAAGAAATTTAAGAGTTATCCAGACAGTATTTGGCACTCATCTACCTGTGATACTTGATCTGGAAAACATACGATTTAAAATGTATAATCACATGAGATGAACAACAGCCTACACTCAAGATTTTCCAAAAAACACCAATGTGATCATCATTTTTTATTACACAAGAAAGAAAACAAACATGATAAAAACAGGACTACTGTTGCACATATCAGACAGCTGAGCAGTTTTGTGGATAGCTATTTATTAATAGACTGTTATCTTATTCTATTTGATCTGACTCAAGACTATGCTTTCACAGTTTTTACTTCACTGTATTATTGAGATGCAACATAAAAAGGTTTTTTTACAAATACACTCCAAAGATAGCCATGTAGGTTTTATTTACACAAAAAGAAATTAAAAAGGTTTCTCACACAAAGCTAGTACCAGCTTCCTGCATTTTTAAATGAAGGTCAGGGCACAAGACAGTCAAAATTATTTTCTGTGTATTAATTTGAAATGAATGATGAATCTGCATCTTCCTCTATGTTGGCTGGATGGCTGCACCCAGAGAGTTGCAGTCAATGGGTTCAGTGTCCCAGTGGAGGCAAGTGACAAGTGGTGTTCCTCAGGGGTCAGTACTGTTCAACACTGTTCACTGTCACTGCTGTTCAACACCTTTGTTGGAGACATGGACAGTGAGACTGAGTGTATCCTCAGCAAGTTTGCTGACGATACCAAGCTGTGTGGTGTGGTTGACACCTTAGAGAGCAGCCTTGAGGAAAAGGAATTTGGGATGGTAGTAGATGAGAAGCTCAACATGAGCCACTAATGTGCACTGGAGCCCAGAGGGCCAACCACATTCTGGGCTGCAGGGTCAGGGAGGTGGTTTATCCCCTCTACTCTGCTCTGGTGAGACCACACCTGGAGTACTGAATATATTGCTCTGAAGCCTTGATCATAGAAAAGACATGAAGCTGCTAGAGAGGATCCAGAGAAGGGCCACAAAGACAATCAAAGGGCTGGAGCACCTCTGCTATGAAGACAGGCTGAGGGAGTTGGGGCTGTTCAGCCTGGAGAAGGCTCTAAGGATACCTTACAGTGGCCTTCCCGTACATGAAGAAGCCTACAGGAAAGCTGGGGAGAGGCTTTTCACCAGAGAGTGTAGCGATAGGACCAGGGGTAACAGTTTTAAATTGAAAAAAGACAGATTTAGGTTAGACATCAGGAAGAAATTCTTCACCATGAGGGTAATAAGGCACTGGAATAGGGCTGCCCGGGGAAGTTATGGAAGCCCCCTCCCTAGAGGTGTTTAAAGCCAGGCTAGATGAAGCTTTGTGCAACCTGGTCTAGTGTGAGGTGTTCCTGCTCATAGCAGGGTGGTTGGAACTAGATGATCTTTAAGGCCCGTTCCAACCTTAGCCATTCACCCATGATTCTATGATTCTACGTTCTGTCTCACTGTTTAAAACTGAATAAAATTGAAATATGGGAGTAATATAAAGCCACAATGTTGCAGAAAAATAGTGATTCAGTACCCACTCACAGCCTTCTAAACACATAGAGACGCTCAAAATACTGAGTGGATTTTATTATTATTATTTTTTAGGTTTTTTTACATCTCAAAAAAATCCACCAGCAAAAAAAAATTCTAAGGTGATCAGGGGAATGGGGAAGGAACCATGAGAATTCAACCCAATTTTCCCAACAAAAACAGTTTCAAATTGATACTATTCCCCTCTAGGTGTAAATCAAGGATATGAATACCAAAAGCGAACAGAGCTATTTACAGTGAAGCCAATACTGGCACACAATCAAATGGATATAAATCAACCAAGAATATATCTATGCTACAAAATATAACAAACAAAAACCATTTCTAATTGGAAGAGCAGCAAAGTCCTGAAAGATCTTCCTACAAGAAGTAACAGATCTCATAACCTGACTAGTTTCAATCGGGTGCCTGACTGATTTCTAAAATGGATTGATATAATCACTGGCTGATTGGATTCAATATACACACAGAACTTTTCCACTTGTACTCTGTACAGGCATTAAGTCAGGATTTAAAAGCTTTCCTAGGTCCTTACCATCCATATAACTTCTTTTAAAAGTAGGATAAAAGAGGATCAAGTGTTTTTGAAGTCCTTTCACCATTTAACATAAGTATTAAAAACCCCCACATCTCACAAGTATTTTGAAACTGATTTCAAAGCACAAACTACCTACTGTTAAAGCATGTTTTAAAGAAGAAAAAGAACTGCAGGAAGGCATACTCACCACTTTCCATCTTTCTTTGACCAAGATTCCCACACTGAGGATGTCAGGCTGCTCCCCTCCTCCACTCATTGCAACCTCCTGATGCAATGGAGCTGCTATGCAAAGTCTAAGTCAGTAGAAACCAGCCAGATCCCAGGAGTGGCTTCCATTTAACCAGTGACTGCAGAAACAGAGAAAAACATGCGATCTCAGTGATTAACAAAATAACATGAAATAAGAAAAAGCTGTGTTTCTCAACTAGCACCCTTGACTATTTTTTGTAACCTATAGTGACTTCTGTTGGAATTCTAGCCACACAACTTCCAGCATAGAAAGACATTTAAGTATATTCTTCCTTAGTTTTTAACCTCCAAGCCCAATCTCAAAATAGTACTAACGAGTATAAACGTTTTCAGAGTTACATTCTGCAGGCGCTTTCAAATTGCTGTAAATCACATTTATATTTAAATTTAGTTTTCATAACAACTTTAAAAATTTAATTAATAATTTAATAATTAATTTAATTTATAGTAATACAGAATTATAAGCTTACAGTAAGATTAACCAAAAAAATTCCAAAATTAAAAATAGACACATAAATTGTAATTGTAATTTAATTTATTGCACTGCATACAAACTATTCCACATTTTGCAATATGTTTCACATAGCCATGATTAGTTATGATCAAATATGTCTGAAGTATAGTTTTGTTTGTTTATGTCAGGGCGTAAATAGCTAAAGGGAAGACCTTGTCTTAGATTTTTTTTTATTTTCTGGCTTTAGGCAATCATCTCTATATTAGATTTTATATAGCAATATAAAAATTTGTCTTTTAGAAATTTATCCATCCATAATGGCTCCCATTAGCAATTACTACAATCAATTAAAAGCTTATTTCAATTATTTGAAACTTTTATAGAATTGTGCTTATTTGTTACACTGGTATAATTACACAAGTTAAACTCTTTGGGCAAACTCTCTTATCCAATAAGGTTCTTCAAAAGTGTATTTGCTTTGGGTTTATTTTTATCCTTCCAAAATAGCATTAACTAAAAGTGAAAAATTATTTTCTCCAGGAATCAACACACAAATGCCATGCAAAGTTGGTACAACCAGTCTGATTTAAATTAGCAGTATTAGCCCTTCCTTATAGACAAATGCCAAGCTTACTACTGGGGTTCTCTTTAAAAAACAAACAGAAAACAACAACAAACCAAACACAACCTGCTGCTCAAGAAACATGGCTTTTAAGACAGATGTTTGTTTGACAGCACAGTAACTGTGGGGTTTTTTTCATATTCTTTCATATTTATTTGTCATTATTACTGTATGCCTTTCCTGTTTCATGTGTACATTTTGACACTTAAGCCCATTCCAAAAAGAGACACCTCTGGAGAAAAAATAATCTGAATTATCTGAATAACTAAATTCATACCAAATTAGAGAGGATTACATCCCTGTTAAAGAATGTTCATTCAGAATATATCACCTAAATTGATTTAATTCAAACAAATCAAGGGAAACCAAATAAAGACCGGGTATTCTGAGTAACAGCACCCATGCTGCAATATAATCAAGTTGAACTAAACCAATTCAAACTCACTGGCAAATTGTCCCCTGCAGATAAGGTAAAAAATCTAAAGAGGAGTAATTTCCACGAACACCCTCCACATTACTAACCACTGACCATAATTACTGGCCTTTCTAACAGAATTGTCATAATACAGTCAGGAACTAAGTAAGCTAAAGAGAAAATGGCACTAATGAAGGTGGAAAGCATGTACTATATGATCTTTTCATTTGCTCAGACCTTTGCTTCCCCTTCTACCATCCCCCAGTTACAACAGAGTAGGTGATGGTCTTCACTAAGTAATGCATTTCTTCCTATATTGGGACTTCAAGAGAGGTCTGTTTTTTTTTCCTGACACTTGCTTAGAATAAGTAATGGAGAAGTTACTTATCTCTCTGGAGCAAAATCTAAAATTGGCAAGTATTATTTTTGCTAAAGCTTTCAAACATGAGCAAAATTTATCACCTGTATGAAAAACAGACACTTTATTAAAGCAAAGATATTGAAACAGTGAGTTTAGAGTTTTTGTTAATACAGCTATCAGCCTTGATTTGATATCTCATTTGATGCTTCTTTTTGTAAATATATTTGAAATTACAATTTATATTCACACCTCTGACAAACATTTCTGAGAGCTATCCATTCATGATTCTTGAGCATACTTACAGAGTATCGGTAAGTGGCCCAGAAAGCAATGGTACAATTCACACATCCATAGAACCATCCCATACTTTCAGAATTATTATAGAACATCTTCTTTAATACACAGTTCCTCAATCCTATTCCAATCTACTAATGCAGTTTTAAATTTCTTGTCATCCTATATAAAGCAATAAAATCTATTCTGTATCATCAGTCATGAGTATTCAAAACACCAGAACTTCAAAACCCACTAAACTGACATGCACAGGAGGCAGAAGTTCTCTTCTGAGCCCCTGAAGCAAGGTTCTAAACACCTCTTGAAGTGTAGTAATTAACTGCAAGCATTATTTTACTTCAAAAAACCCACAATATTTTTTAAAAAGTTGAGGCTAATTTGAAGAATCCTGTTTTATGCAGGACCTCAAATAAAGCAGGAGAATTCAGTCACAAATTTCAAGTCCAGAAAGCTTGAAATTAGCCCAAACTTTGATCTGATCAGGCTGCATCACTTCACCTCTTTCACTGAATTAGCACACACTAATATTTAAGAATCCAAATGACAAAGAGTCCCGTCTTCTCTGGTAACATATTCCAGTACCTCCCTTCCCTCACAGTAAGCATGACTTGATTTGCTTCAAGGTTTAATCTAATTTTATTTTCTTGCCAAAGGACTACATTACAGCTTGGAAACCAAATTCCCCTCCCAGTAACTTCAACTCATTTAAGCATCTAAACACATATTTTAACCTTCTCTAAATTAATAAATTAAGTTTTAAGCCTGTCTTCCTTCCTATCCCATGGGACTTCTACATGGTGCTTCTTTGAAAATCCTCTCCTTGCTCCATATTAATTCTTGCAGTACAGGCAACAACATTGAGTTAGACACTAACACTGAACCACACTCAAACCAACATCTAATATGGAGAAAATATGATTTTTAATTTTTTTTTGTGATAGCAGTCCTATTTCCCTAGTGTGAGCAGTTTACACTTCTACTAAATAACAATTCTACCAGATGCTTATCCATTTCCATGCCTACACTCAGGCACTGCTGTGAGAATATGGTTTCTTTAAACCCTTATTCACAATCTGCTCTAGACTGGGTTTCATTGTTCTGATGTGTTCTTTATTGACCTTAGCACTGCATAACTGAAAATCTGTTGATATACTGCAAAAGACAAATGTATTTTTATTCCTTACCTAATAACAGAAAACACACACTCTGACAGGTGCACTTTAGGTTATGATCACTTTCTCAAAATTCATGTCAAGAAATAAAGATGCTATTGGAGAGAACTACATTTAAAGGACTTTTGGACAGACCTCTTTGGAGGTGGTGCTTTGGACTAAACTGCAACTGAAACATCTCTGAATTTTGAAGGACGTTAATTCAGATTGTTTGGCTTATTCTAAATTCCACAGATGAATAAAAGACTCATAAAAGTACATACAGTCCCATTTGTGTTACTGAAATCCAGCCATATGTTGCTTTCAGCACAGCTGTTTAACTGCCTACAATGCTGTAAACAATTTTTAAAAGCTCTACCATGTTCCATATCCCACAAAAGAAGATGACTAGTTATTGACATACAGTTAGGGTGCAAGTTTCTCCTTATTCATTAAAGAGATGATCTTTTAGCAGTCTAGTTTTACAGGTGGCAGTATGGTTGTTTTCTGCTCAACAAATACTTCTTTATAATTCTCAAAAAAAAAGTGATAGTTATTTAATCACAATATCTCGCATAAAATTCTGTATTCATTAACTCATTGGTTTTCTTATCAGACTAGAGAAAATGTGTAAGATAGCAGAATGAACACAATTAAAGGCAGTTAGTCCTCTGTCAATTTTATTTTCATGTGACAGGTCATGGAAAAACTAGGACAACACAGTGAGTACAGACTTTGTTCCATAAGCTAAGCCTTTGCCTGGGAACTGTTCACAGTATAATATAAGAAGAGGTAAAGGAGGGTTAGTGCTTATATTCAGAATTTAGTATTTTACAAACAGTATCCATTCTTTAAAAGTCTTCTATACTTGTAATTGCTTTTAAGTACATATTCCCCTTGCAAAAGATGACCTTAATTTACCCAAGTATACTAAAAGATTACATGGTATTAGAAAACAATAGTGCAAAACTTCCAGAAAAAAAAATCAATTTTGTAAAAGTTGATTCTAGCTCAGCAAGCTACAATGTAATTTGTGTACACGCATATAATTTCTTTAGACATGACTGACCCAAACCAAAGCCAAACACTGGCTGTTCACCAGCCTTTTTAGATGTTTAAATCCAGATCTTAGGTTGTGAAAATAGAACAGACTATTTTTGCTGAATGGAGGTACTATAAGTATCAGGAAAAAGCAAGTAAGGACAGAAAATTACTTTCCTTTCGCAGAAAGGAAAGAAAATGTGTCCTGTTGCCTCCCCTGTGGGATAGTATCAATCTTTTCCTATTAGGAACTCTCTATGCTTATTAGGAGCTGTATCTGCCAATCTTAATTTAATTTAAAATACTACTAAATTAACTGGAAGCTACCAAAGTTGCTTTCCACTTCTGTACTTTGTACTTTTGAGCAGAAGAATTTAAAGGAACAAGGAAAAGTTTAACAAACCAGCATAAAGAGACAATCAGGGCAGGAAATATTCAAAGGTCCTAATTCCACCACATTTATTATAAAGTCTACTTTCTTAGGCTAAGAAGCATGATAAAATTGTAAACTCTAAGATTAGAAATGTTTAAATTGTGTCTGTTTGAACATCCAAACTAGAAAGCTACAATCTGAATATTTTCTAAATACGTTCAATAGAGGCTGGGGTCCTGAAAATTATTATGCAGCATGTAAATGAGATAACTAAATTTAAAGGCCTTGAGCTAAAT